TGAACTTTATCCCGATTCTTGGTAGAGCTTTGATCAGGGTGCCTGAGTCCTCTTGATGGTAAAAGTCATTCGGGTTAAACGTAGGATTGATGTTTTTTTTCCCTCATGCCAGCGCCTCTTGTATTTTATCAGGTTTCATATGTTTATACATGTTCATACCACCGTCTGCAGTACTTGCCTTCCATCTTTGCACCCAGGGTTCCCCCCTGAAAAGGGGACCAGGAGGTCCCTCACCAGGGTGCATAGAGAACATCTAATTGAGCCAACAGGGAGAAAATGCAGGAAACAAACACCCACACCTCCTTGTTTTTCAGCCCTTTGATTGGATTTTATCCGGGTGGCTGTAAACGGTAGATTCATGTATATAAATTTAGTCCAACGGTTCAATAAAACTCATTTTTGTGGTCTTCTGTCCCATTGGAACCTAAACACCACCTTCCTCACTGTCTGTAATACTTGGTTGTTGAGTTTATTGATACCAGGCTGAGTCAGACTGTTCACGAATTATAATTTAGGTGTCGCAATTCAAAGTTAATTCTTTAGCTCACAACAAGGTCCTTTAGTAGCTGTTCTGGAGCTCTCGATCGTGTAGGTCTTCCTCAGAAGATGAAGTTTGCCCATTTGTCAAGATGTTCAGATGTGCATTTTTTCTGAGCATTTTAATAACTTCAATATTTGTTAAAGAATCAGATTGAAAGTGTATTCTTGAAGTTGGTAAAACAATATGAACACAAACAAAAAAAACAGTCTTCTTCAAATGTAGGCGCTATACGTTGTATTTCGTAGTTTAAAACTACTCCTGTGCTACAAAACCAGCCCTTTCCCTATTTTTTTTAAATAAATAAACCTTGTGATTTAATTTGAAATGAACTGAGAATAGATTGAATGTATCTGAAGTAGTAGCACCAATATATCTGTATGAATATCTTGCCATCGTAGTTTAGACCCTGCCGGTAGCCACATGTGCCATGAGACAGGTTTCTGCCTGTCCACTAGAGTTTCTAGTTGAACAGTGGCATCGAGGCAAATCCAGCTAATGCTGGTTCAATCTAATCATCTGATGGGGGCTGGTCGGAGGATTATGGTGATTCCCTCTCAGCTCGGGGGTGCTGACAGCAGCACAGGGTGTGGGACTTGTTACCTTAATGGAGCAATATACAACATTCAGAGGCTGAATAAGCCACTATTTCCTATGTAAAGATAAAGCAGAGTAATGTCTACCTGAGCAGAGAAAAGTCACTCACCCTTTGTGTGCGTTATGTCTGAGCTTGTCCGTGCTTTATAGTGCATGTGTGTTTGCCCTACTGGCTAGCTCACTGACGGCTGCTGTGCATTGTTCTCATACGGCGGTTATGGCCGATAACACCGTCCTGACTGATGGTGTCATTGCGGAAGTGTAGCGCCAACCCTTCCGGCCTCCCCTCAGGTCAAAACTGTCAGCTCTGCAAGCCCTTTCACCATCTTGAGAGCCGCAGAGAGGCAATAGAAATGCTCCCAGTCTTGTAATTTGCACTTGTTGCCTCATCCATGCGTACAGAGACAGCAGACAGGATTTAGTTTGTCTGCTTGGCTGCTGAGCCTCATGCCGTCATATTCCCCCGATGATGACCTGGTGTGGTGAGATCAAGTGGTCCACATAACCTTTTTATGGTTCATCACTTGTTCTTTTACTGATGGTAGATTTGAAAAAAAGGTAATGTGAAGGTGTTTGTGACAAATGGCTGCAGCTTTATTGTGTGTTATATAGCGTGACCCTGTTAGCCCACGTGCTATCAGTGTTTACTAAGGATAGGTAACGAATAAATGGAGAAGAAACACCATAACACAGAGATTACCACCATAAAACTAGATGTGTAAAATATCCTGTTTTTTAAATTAAGAAAAACCAAGAATTGTCTCCAGTTTTGTCCGCATGTCATGGTGATTTGATATGATTCTACTTCCTTTACAACGTGATCAAGTAACTCACAGCCTTTGTTGTCTGAATTTGTCTTCATCATCTTATCTCAGCGTTGTATAAGGGTTTGTTTTGACCTTCCCTGTACATTGTTCCATCGCGCTTTATCTTCCCAGATCAGATTAGACTTAAGATGAGCTTTACGTAAGACCACAGGTGGATGTGACTGCAGCTGTGGCCTTGGTGAGTGTGTATGTGAGTATTTATGGAGGTTAATCAGAGTGTATGGTCTTGTATTTCCATGTCCAGGGTGTAACATATGAGGATCCTAAGGGTGCTGGCTGTCTTTGCTTTGGGTTTGAACAAAGATGGATGGATGTTTTTACAACACATACACACACACACATACACACACCACTCATTCACGTGTTGTTTTTACTGCAGGTGTAAACTGAAAACAGGGAGCGCATGCACAGTATATGTTCTCCACGATGTATCTTGTCTAGTTTTAACATTTTCTGGAACCAGAAGCGTTGAGGTGCAGAACAAACATGTGATGGATCCAGTGGTTCAGAATATTGACTGCAATGATTACACAAAATGTGTAATTCAGCCAGACGCTGGTTACCAGTTTAGTTAGTTGATTAGTTTGCTGTTTCCTGCCTCAGTGACTTTGATAACAGCGTGTCGTGACACACTTTGTTTATCCAGGAGTTTTTTAAACTCAGCATTTGCATCTCCTCTCATACATTCCTGGCACCTGTCCTGTCACAGTGAAATGTCCGCCCAACACTGCAGTGTGTGTGTGTGTGTGTGTGTGTGTCTCTTTGTGTTGTATGAAAAGCCACTTGTTCTGTTGACATAACTGTTTTCCGTCCCAACCCGCTGACCTTCGCGATGCAGGCGGTTTTCATTGTCGTCATTGTAATTGTTCACCGACATTGTTCATCATCACTGTCACTACCTGACAACAGGTGAACACTTTGATTTGTGTTTCTGTGTGAATGGCCAGAATTGGCCAGGACCCCGTGTTGGATCTGTGCCCCCCCCAAAAACATTTTGATGACAGTTTTAATTGTTGATCATTTTTGGAGGAGTGTGAGCAGTGCCCTCGCGGTGAACTTAACTAGAAATGCAGCCACGACTATGTGAACTCGCAGGAATTGAAATGTGTCCAACACCTTTTGAACTCAAGATCTTTGAGCTCAAGACACACAACATCTGTTGCTTGTCTGGCCGTCCAGGGAGAGATATATGAAGGCAAATCACTTGATTGAAGAGATCCCTCTTTGATTCTTCCCTTTTTTTTTTTTTTCTTTATCTGAAGCGAGGGCGGAAGGACAGATGGTGCCATATGCTGTACAGATTGTAAAGCCCCTTTAGGCCAATTTGTAATTTAGGTTACATAGATAAAATAGGCTTCACTAACTTGATTTTAGCGGTCCCTGTGGACGAAAGCGGTCGTGTTTCTGAGCACCAGAGTCCCTTTTAGAAAACCTCTCATTTTACTGCAGCAGGGTCTGGTTCTCCCGTGACTCCCTTCCCGAATTAAATATATACCTTCTCGCTGAATGTCTCATTTACTTATGTAGTCATATAGAGGCATCAGTATGAAATTGAGACTGTTTCATAACCAGTTCAAATGTCCTCACAGTAACCTTAATGTAAGAGTCAATGAGGGCCAGTGTGCTGCTGTATTTCCTCACGTGTCTTGTTGCCTAACCCACGACAGTGCATCGCATGACTGTTTGCAACATTAGAGAGGTCGTCCTGTGACCTCCATACGAGACACTCGTGCACAAACACAAGATGCTTCTCCAACTGAGCCCTGAATGAGGGTCACAGTTGTTCTCTCACACCGTCATGTATCCCATCCAGTCATCAAAGACGCACTAACAAACCACAGACATGATGCACTTTGGACTGCTCTCCACTTAGTAGTGCTCTTTCACTATCTCCCCATCACTACCACCATGCACTTGTTTTTTAAACATGGCAGTTTAGGTGGCCACAAGCCTGAGATTGTAGTGCGGTCTGTTTTTGTCCTCCGTCTACTACGAGTGTGCTCGGAGTGTAAATGAAGCTGGTGAAGTTGGTGTGCCGGCTCCTGAACAGATCTGTTTAGGTATAAACGCTTTTGTGAATTCTACATTTTACACCTGCAACACAGCTGCTGTGTGAGTGTGTTTGATGGCAGATTCCCACTTCTGTCACAACATATCAGATCCCCCAGCAGACGGGATTTGTTGAGTTGCTTGTGTTGAGCTGGTTTTCAGCAGTGTTGCTGCCATCTTGTGGGGATGTTTTGTAAGTTGGTTACAACACAAACTTTCATAAGAACTGCTCAGCAGACATGAGTCATGGGGGTGGCTGGTGACCTTCCACATGGTTATTAAGTAAAATACTGCCTGAAGTGGAAAAAAAGGGCGTTTAGACGTCAGCACTGAGAAATATGGAAAATTAATCTAATCTGAGAGTTATGAAATATTTCCTCTTAAACCCACTGCTTTCACTAAATGTAAAGCAATCCTCTTGATTTAAATGTATTAGATTAGATTGTCACTTTAACCACTCACTGCCTGAAGATAGACACGATCCTCAAAGCCGCCTCTTATGACAACCAACAACATTGCTTATATTAATGTATATTTATATATTTATTGTTAAAACCGCGGTGTATCATGCTCTGTTGTGGTGTCATAACAGACTGCGTGCCAGTGGAAGAGCAATCCACGCAGCACTTTTATTATTACTGCCACTTGTCATGTGTGGTTTTGTCTTATATGGCAGTGACAAAGACAAATTTCCATTTTATGCAAATCGAATAGACAATCATGTAATCTGAAGTCTTAAAGCTTAAATTGTTTTGCGCTTTTTCCTCGAAGGTTAACAAAAATGCATTTTGACATTAGAATCATTGGAATCCTGTAGGAAAATATGAGTTCATACTTGTTCGCTTCAAAACACCAGATCAGTGCATCCCTGCATTTTTACTGTGGTATAGAGGTGATAGCTTATGAAAATATTGTATTTGTATTCTCTCTGCCACATCCATTGTAACCTTCCTCTTCCCTGTCCTCTCTCTCACCGTCTTCCTCCGCAGGTGATCGCCTGTTTCGGCTTCTCCGTGATGTCTTCCCACTACATTGGCTTTGCCGTGGTGGCCCTGCTGGTGGAGATCAACTCCGTGTTCCTCCACCTCAGGCAAATGCTGCGTATGGCCAACAATGCGGCGGGCACGCTGTACCGGGTCAACAGCATCATCAACCTGGGCACATACGTGGTGTTTCGCATCAACACGCTGGCCTGGATGACCCGCTGGCTGGTGCTCAACAGGGACAATGTGGCCCTCCTGGCCTACACGCTGGGCAGCGTGGGAATGGCCATCATGACGTGCATGAATATTGTCCTGTTTTGTCGGCTACTCAGGAGCGACTTCTTGAAGAGCAGCACCCGGGAGACCAAGAAAGAGAAGGAGATGTAAAGATGAGGGGAGGAAGGGACACAAGAAGGATTATAATCTATAAACGCACTCGTTACTGTATTTAAACTTCAGTTTTGGTACTGTTTTTTTTTTTTTTGCATGTGTGTGTGTGATATGCTCTTATGTTGGCAGATGAATGGATCTTTTGATCTCACATACTGTACAGGTACACCGTACAACTTGTAATCAAATGGCCTTACGTGAAACATGGATCACTCACAGACGTAATGTTAAAAGCTACATTTCGGTGTAGTTTTAACTTTAGGCTTATGTACGCGTGTGTGTGTGTGTGTGTGTGTGTGTGTGTTCCAATAATCCTGAAGTGCCATTAGTGGCTCACTGATGGTAGGATGTAGGATTCCTTATGTGAACAATGAAAGGTCTCGTAAAACAACACCAATAGCCTTATTTCCCACGAGATGTGTTTCAGCTAAATCTGTTCTTCACAGTAAGTGAAGACGCTCATAAAACAAACCCACTAACTCTTTATATTTCCAAAGAAAACATAGGAAACAATTACAAATATCTTAAGAATAATGTTTTTATTTACCATATTGTATCGTAAATTGTCGTATCCAAACCCTCTTGTTCAACACTAGCACTGCAACGGTGAATAGATCTTTTTTTTTTTTTTTCTCCAACAAATCTCCTTAACTGAAAACCGCCTGCTACCTCAGAAAGCTGTACTGTCAGTGTCTGGCAGGTTCTTTATTAAAAGAGCAGAAAATAAAACCATATTTCAAAAAATACCAATCCTTACTGAAGGAGAGAATAAGCTGATGGGTGAATACTTTGAAGTGGCATCTAAATAAAACAGATAAGGTTTGATGACACAATGCAGAGCGACTTGATGTTAGCTAAACAACGTTTGCCAAATGGATTTAAAACATCGAGGATAAAGAATTTAGAAATATTAGTCATAGCAGGCTTTATATTCATTATAAAGATACAGTATAACCGTAATCCTGAAAACAACCTGAGCCGATAGTGGTCATTGTGTTGAGTAGTTTCTGACTTGATTGGCTCATGGATCAATTACAAACCACCACCAATGGCATCAGTGTCCAGCAGCAGTCAGTGATGGAGGTTTTTTTTTTTAAACAAAACGGGTTTAATGACAATAGATAGCGCTACAGAAAAAACTGATGTTAATGTTTTCACAGTTTGCATGTAATTCCTTTAGTGGTCTCTGAATTTGCAGCAGGTGCTCTCAGACAGGCAGAAGTTGTTGTTCTTCATTTGGCCTTTAGAGGACAGCAGCACTCCTCAACATCACCTCAGTGATCTCAGCAAAAACAACACAAGAGACGTCTTTATTTTGAAACGTCTTTGTAGACTGGTGCCTCATGCCTTCAATTTGAAATAACCACAAAGCCCGTCGAGTGCTTGGAACTAACAGGTCTGAGATCTGTGAATACAGAAAAACACACGGCTGCTACAAGGCTGCCTTCTCTTACCACTCACATCATAGCATTACAGTCCTTATGTGGCCTGGAAACATGGGATGCCATATATGTTTGGCATTGTTGCTTTTTTGTGTATAATCATTGTCTAGGGGGTGAAAATGTGAATATTTGTAATTTATTTGTGCTAAAAAAGTGTGGATTAAACAGAAAATTCAATGAATATCCCTGGAAAAAACCCCTCTTGATGACAGTTGAGTAAATATGATTGCGTAAGTTGTGTTGTTACGGGGCATTGTGCTTCTTTGGGTCTTCTATTTACATTAGCCATATGTATACAGACCTAAAACCAGGCTGTCCAACTACATTACAAACACAGTGATTCAATGACACAGACCATTAAAATAACTGTCCTTATTTAATTCAAGACATCACTGCACTAAAGAAACGGCACTATTTGGGAGGAAGACGTGGCTGATTCCCAGATTTTAAGATCAGGAGTAACTCACTTTTTAAATTTTTTATTGTGAATGCCACATTTTTTTATTAAATACTTCAATTTGTATAGGGCAGCTTGACTTTGTGGTTGTAGTGAAGACAACCGGTGACAAGTGAAGTTCTTTCTAACAAGCAAGCTTATAATTGTGAATGTGTTGCTCGAGGCTGTAATGTTATTGGAATTATACATTATGTTGCTGTGTGCTTTTATGAATTGTGATCAAATATAACGGGCAAGTTGAGATGCCTCCTCCAATCAACGTTGTAATGACAAACAATCTAATGTTCTGCTCTCCGCAGTCTGATTTCTGCTCTTTTTTTTGCGACCTGTATGGTTTTAATTTCAAACTGTCCCGAGGCCACGGATGATTCTCTGCTTTTATATTTTTGGGTGGTGAACACAAGGAAAACTATTTCAGGAGAAAGTGGCAGCGTTCATGAAGTCATGTTGCAACACTCTGCCTCACTTTCCTCATCATACACAGTAAATGTGGTGTTTGACTGCATTGATCTCACAGAATGAAAAAAAATATATATATATTTTTTATCACAACCTACAAATGATACCAGTTTTATACCCTTGCTTGTTCATTTATTGTTGTTTTCTGGTGGTTGGTGAAATATTGCCTGTTGTAAACTATGAAAAAAATGAAATTCACAACAGTGAAGACTGTTGACACTGTGCAGCATGTCAAAGAGGTTCTGAAAGAAAAATCATCTGCTTTCTCGGAGCAACAAACTTTCACTTTTCACAGAATTATGCCTTTCAGTGTAAATATAAGTTTTATTTTTTCATGTTTTGGCAGATTGTTTTGTAATTAAAACTCCAATTTATGTTTATATATGAACATTATTTGTTTAATGTGAAAATAAAGATTGATGGAACAAATCTGTTTTTCTTTCACTGACACACGGTTTTCAATAAAGCACATTTGTCTGACAGCTGTTGTTACTGCAGATTCTGGGATTAATATAACTAATAAAATAATCAGAACAGAAATAGCACTTAAGTAAAATACTTTAGAAAGTACTGATGTTCCCACAGTTGCTACCAATTTTGTGTAGAATAGCACACTATTTATATCCAACACACAGTATATCAGCAAGTATTTTTCTCTTTGGTCATCATTAGCACTGTGTAACATCCATGCTGAATTAATTTGTGTTAAATGCTAAACTGATTTGTCAGATATAATAGATTAAAGATATTGTGAGATTTAATAGCAACCCAAAGAACTCTCATCTGAAACAATGGGACAAGATTTGCAGTTGAAGTATCAAAGATTGTACTTTTGTATTGAAGTACATTTAACTTTGATCAAAAACATAGATTGCAACATTTATATTGAATAAATTGAACCCAGCACCGACTGCTTTTGATACTTTTACTGTTGTACTTAAGCAGAAAATGTAAGTTCAACCTCAAATGTAATCTTTCAAAGCGCTCCCCTTGATTGCACTTCATCAAACGGCTCCACCTGTGAATTAAATAACAGTAGAACTCCTGAGACGCCCCCAGGAGGTCCGCGGCCCGCAGGTTGAGAACCGTTACAGCAGCCTCGGTCCATGATGCAGAAATCACAGAAATCACTAACTTAGTATCGAATCAGAAAATAAACAATGTGACAGATTTACAGCAAGAAAATAATGTTTGCTTTCAAGTCACAGTTTTTATTTCTTATTTTTTTTTCCCGGTGTGTTTTCCTTTGTAGGCTGTATACTCCCACACGCGCTTGCTTTGTATTGATCCTCTTCACAGTCGACGTATTGCTGTTTCGGGCTGGTCCCTCCAATCAGCTGTCCTGCTCACGTTGTCGTACGATCTTCTCGAGTGTTCTGCTCCCGGTGGCTTGTTTTCATCATTCCCTTCGCTCAGCCTCAGTCCACAGCAGCTCGACGTCTCCGTCGATGGGCGAGTAGGAAGGGTGCGCGTGTTGAGAGGATGGACTGCGCACTTGCCTCGCGGGCTTTCGTATCGACGCACTTGAAAACATCCTCTTCCTAACGATGCTGCGTGTTGCGAAGACGAGGAGCGGTTCCGCCGGAGCACCGCCGTGCCGCGCATCGCGGGGGTTTTGCATTTTTACGCAGCTGTCCAGCCTCTCCGTCCTCTAAGCAAACGTCGTCACATGCGGCTCAGAAGCACTTTGAAGCTTCAGATAAGATGTGTTTGGGTAAAAACCGCAGCCGACAGGATTTGGACCAGCACTGGAGGCCAGCATGCGCGGATCGGAGGACGTTTTCATAACGCTTGCGAATCATATTTAGTAGATTTTGGCACCTAACACGCTATAAAGGGTAAGCAGATCCATTTGGCTTAAGATATAATGCAAAGGCTTAATTAATTGATGTAGCTGCATCCTGACTGGAAGTGCATGTTTTCTCCCATTTCTGCTGATTTCTGTTGTCATCAATACCTTATTTATAGCCACCACATGACCTCAATTCAGAACTTGCACTTCTCCCTCTCTCTGTGGCTGAAATAAGCAATGTTCCTTGTAAGAGTAAGTGACATTTAGCAGCTTCAGTTCAAGCTTTACAGCGTGATAGGAAGTTGGAAAAGGTAGTCTCTTGAAGAGAGGACGCGATGGGTGCTGGTGGTAAAATATCTGTGGGTCCCATCCTTCTGATTTCCTCCCTCTGTCCCTCCAGACTCGGCCATGGGTGATGAGAGCAGCCTGTCCCGGCAGATAGGGAGCGTGGAGAGGAGCGTGGTGTTCCTCCGCCAGGAGCACCTCACTTTACTCCACGGCCTCCACCTGGAGATCCTCTCCCTGCAGAAACGATGCACAGGTGAGGGACACACTGCTGCTGATCTTACTTGAGGCATGAGGGAGCCAAGACACATTCATGTGACCCCCGAAATGTAAAATAACACTCCATAAACTTACACCCATAATGGTGTGACTATTATCTGCTAATTTTACAATTTCTTTAGTCTATGAAATGTAGGATAAAGAAAAGCAGCAAATCTTCAGCGCTAATGAGCTCATATTTATGTGAAGGATCCTTTTGGTGCTATAATCAGCAAGGACCCCTCCCACTGACCCTCAAAGAGAAGATTTACAGAGAGTTTTAATTACTTGCTTGATGTGTTTTGTGGATAGAAGGCAGTTTTGTGGCCTTTTTTAATTAGGTTTTTACAATTTATGATATGATTCTATCCAGGCAGAAGCTCATTTGACGGACTACATGATCAATATTTAATTTTCAAAGGAACATAATCCGCTGTTGTGACTCTCGATCTGTAGTGCAGTTATTGTCATTTTCATCTCGGGGAGAGACCCTAAGTCTCCCCGTGTGCACACAGGCCTCATTGTTCATATGATGTGTGTCTGCACCATCAATCAATGACTGCACGGTGATGTCATGCTACAATTCCTGTAGATTGCATCATTTCCTGTTTCGGGCCTAATGGATATGCCGTCCATTTAATCAAGCAAGCCGGTGCACATGATCAAACATGCATGCACGCACGCGCACACACACACTCACACACACATACACACACACACACACACATTTGCATTACTATAACTGGGAGGATGCTCTATTTGATTTTCATTAATTCCCTGGAGGCCTTCCTTATCCTTTTACTATCAGTGAATATGAATATTTAAATTGGTGGGGTGGGGGGGGGCAGCTTTGTCTCCTCAGAGTGGAGGAGAATCTCCCGATGTGACTAAATACACACACACACACAAGCATGCACGTATATAAGCCACATATTGCACACACACACATTCATTGTCACACACAAAATACTGTACAACTTTAAAGAGATGCATTCAAACATATTCGTCGCAGTTAATCCATAGATCCCATATCTTCAGTAATCCATATGAACAGGATTGTGGTATACTGATACAGGGGGGGGGGGTTAGGGTTTGTTTTGTAGAGAACAACCCCCTCCATCACTTTGTAGCTCTGCTGCACAATCACATCTGGTCAATAAAGCTGTGTGTGTGTGTGCGTGTGTGTGTGTGTGTGTGTGTGTGTGTGTGTGTGTGTGTGTGTGTGATGGTGTAGAGAAAGGCAGCCTAAATGTTTCTTTTTGTCCACATAAATAAAGTAATGCTTATGAGTTCTTTCAGCTCCAAGAAAACAAGACACATTTTGGGCAAACCTTCAAAAAGAAAATCTTTTTCTTTATAGAAATGATTGAAACAATAAATTATTGACACAATACTGTTGTCCGAACAAGCAAACATATTCCTTCCACAGACCTCATCGACACAAATATCTTTGTCCTGTAGCCACTGGAGTCATGAATCTGCTTACCAGTGTTTTTCTATACAAACTACAACACAGCATTTCATTTCCACGTTCCTCAAAGGTTTTGTGGAATTGCATATGCAGATACATTATTATGCCACACTCACTAAAAACACACGAGACCATCTACTCTTTCTGCTGAACGTCTTTAAATCGAATGGTGCCCTCAACCCAGATTGAAAAGCCGTTAAAAGGTTTTGCAGGCAAATGTCTGTTTTTTGAAGGCAAAGTGAGATCAAATGGCCACCAAGCACCCTGGTTGATTTTCAGTCGGCAGGGAAAGTTTAATTGTAAAACACATTTAAACAACAAAGCAATTCCAAGAGCTGTAAGAAAAGAAACACAAGTTAATATAAAAAAGGCAAAACAAAAGGACACATTTAGATATGATTTAATAATAAAATGGAAGACAAAAATAAGCTAAAATAGAATCAAAAGATTAAAACGGGACATGAATTACAGTGCCATGCAAGACATGAATACATGGTCCCAGATTAATATTTAATAAAATGCAGAGGCAAACAGAAAAGTCTTCAGCCCTGATGAAATATAATTGAGAATTGCAGCAAACCTCAAGTTTTTTGGTTGTTTGTTTCAGATATCTTGTGCATAAAAACTGAATGCTGGTTTCTCGTATGTAGTTTTGACAGTAAGTACAAAGATCTGAGAACTGGGCTGCGGTTGACAGTCCAAAAAAATGGCATACTATGTGTGTCCCTGACCCCTCATCCTTGACCTCGATGGAGAACGTCATGAGGTAAAGGAAAAATGTGACGGATGATTTATAAGGACTTGAAGAAAAGACAACCGAGGTGCTCAGAGACGTGCTTACATGACGGGGTACGGATGTTTTTCTTTTTTTCAGCAACTATAATATAATGCATAGAAAATAAGTATAGGCTACAGGGACAAACGCAACGCTGTACAAGCAATGATTGAATCTCTCAACTCCTCTTCTGACTGCTGGTATCGGGAACAGCTGATAGAGACCTCAGTATTCAAGGAGCGCAGTGTGTTCAATAGATCGGTGAGGTCTCGTTTCAGTGCTTCTGTTGTCTCACAGTGTCATTAGTCGCTGTGTGCTCTCTTGTTGTCCACTGTTTCCACTGCATGGTAAAGTGCTGCCATTCCCAAACAATCCACTCACCTCCACATTCACTTCTAACCGGTAAAACAAATGTAAGCAGCAAATTATCTTCACTGTAACAAAGCAGTCTCCTTTTTCAGGCCATGTTTACGCTAGAATGTTGACAGCATGTGTAACTTGCAGTCATTCTTTTAGTTTTTGGGGTTGGTTTCAACGAGGTTCCCATACATAAAACGAGGTGATGATGACGAAGAGTCTGGAGAACGGCTGTGACGCCAGATGCCGATGGGTGTTTGCTGCCAGCTTGCTAATGTGCAGCCTGGAAGGATACGTCAAGGTTGAGCTGACGAAGTTGCCGTGCATATTAGCTCTGACTTTGAACTGCTGACCTCATTATTATTGTTCTGAACTCTTGTTCTCATCACCTTAAAGGCTCTTACGCTTCTGCCTCGTTGAACGACCAGCTAAATGAATTTGTGTCCTCTTGTTTTTGAAAAATGGGGCTTTTTCTCTGATATAACGTGTTTTTATTGTGTGCCATAGAAATCAGTTAGGCGTGTGTCTTTCGAGATGTGTTTGCAAAATTCAAGGTCGAGCCATGAAACAAAAACCTTGGATGCTCAGTGAGGCTGCAGGAGATGAGCCGAATCTACAAAGCATCACACACACTGAATGAAGCAATGTGCTGAGCTCCTCCTTTTCATTGTTTGTTGTTTTTTAAGAAATAGTTCCTAGAGCCGACTTCCTGCGCTGAAATAAACTTCATTAGTGATTCATGCGTGATTGAGGATAATGACTAGAAAACAGGACCTCTCAAAGTCTCCCATATTTTGCAGTTACAAATTAAACAGCAAGCAGCGAGTCTTTCTGGAGCTGTCTATCTGCGGTTCCTCTATCCCCTTTTCCTCCCTCCCTCCCTTCCTTCATTCCCTACTATCTGTCTTCCCACCCTCCTCGCCTCCTCTGTCTCCCTCTCTTCATGCCAGCAGCATGGGCAGGCGTGTTATACTTACTGCAGAGGGAAGGAGAAAGGGTGTGACGGAGAGAGGAAGAGGAAAGAAAGGCTACAAATAACACTTCTGCTGTTTTAGATTCTGCTTTATATTTCAAGTAAACATCTATCGAAGCGAGTGTTATTAGGGTTACCAAGTTAAAATGATGGCCATTAAACTAGTTTACGATCGTCACCCGTGGCTGATTGAACAGTCACATATCTCTGGCAATGGAAAATTCAAATAGGACAAATCTGTGCCACGTTCATCTAGAAATTACTGGAGCCGCACACACAGACGTATTTCTGTGTTTCAGAGTGTGCTGAAAGCTGAGTGTAGAGATTTCCCTGATTCCGGCCGGCCTGAAGGAAAATCTAAATGACAGACCAGACATGACCAGCAGTCCGACCCCCACAACCCCGTCAGAGACACTGTATATCATTTTTTATCAGGGACAATCCAACCCTGCCAATAACTAAGCACCATATACCAGTCTGATACATGATCTTCTCAATAACATAAACCGTCAGTGGCTATAATACACTGACATGAGATATAATCCAGCTAGTATCCAAAAATGACGAGATATGTGCCAGATATCATATCATGTAATATATGCATAATCCTAATCATGTTAATGGCGTATCTCACTGTAACATCATTCAGCTATATTACTACTTCCTGCACCACTGAAGAAAAGTCATACAATCATGATTTTATTGTCCAATAAAGCATTGAGACCAGCAAGCTGCTGACTGTCTGATTATTATTATTATTTTATGGTACAAGACAAATGGATGCATCCACTAATGCAAGAGATAAAAGTTGTGCACAACGTGACACCGGGTATAACAATAACAACTACACTACACAGTACAATACATAAGAGAAATCTGTATCGATCCGTTCTCCACAAAATCATGTTTCACCTATTTGTATTCCGTCATTCTGCAGAATGTTTCAGTGTGGAACTGTAGTTTTGGGTTAAAATTAGATTGTTTTTTCAGCTACATCAGTTGTAATGAATGCGTCTCTGCTTACATCGCTTCATGGCAAGCATCTTGAATTTCACTTGGCTTATTTTTGGGGTTTCTATTTGTTTGGTTTTGCATTTCCTCTTGAAACCGATTGCCAGTAGTTTTTATTTGAGTGAATATTGATTTCAAGGAGTGCTAATAATGCTAATAAGTCCTTTTGAGTTTGCAGTTTTTCTCCAAACTGTGACAAGTAATGAAACAGGACATCGTCTTTGATGTAAAGTTTCAGATTTAGCTTCATCAATTATGTATGAGCTCACTGAAAATGTGCTGGAAACTGCATCGAGCATCTGGTATGTCAACCAGCAGCAGCAAACTGAAAATGTAAGCATAGAGCTTTAATAAGACATTTCAGCACCATTGAGCATCTTTATTTGAGCTCTAACAATATTATTTCATGAGTTTTTATATATTCGTATGTATCTTAAACAGCTCTTTCCTGTGGTTTTGTCTTTCTCTTGTGTTTTTCAGAGTTGACAAGTGATCTAAAGGTGAAGCCTCCAGGCAGAAGCCAAATAGGTATGTAAAAAAAAAACGTCCCTTCTTTGCTCTTTTTCTTCATCACCCACCTTCATCATGAATAAGCTCTCCGTCTGCACCGGAGACAGAAAGACGCACGTTTGCATCTACTTGGGCTTGTTTGTCTTTGCCCGACTCAACCTCAACCCCCAATCCACCGTAACTCGACGCCCGCACCCCCTCTCTGCCTCCTTCTGTCCGCCCCAACCCTCCCATCCCCCAGGGGATGAATCCCTGTCAGCTGCCCTCCTCCCTCTTCTCACCCACGCATCTCTATCTCATTTCATTTACTTACCCTCAAGGAGGGTAAGTCTGACAAACCATACACAGGACAGATCATGGCTGCAAAATGTTTCCTCGTTTTTCTGTGTGAAAAGAGTTGGTCACAGCTGTACGGGGGTCGCAAAAGCACTAACTGGGAAGAACCTAACACAGCTGCAAAGACCACATGCCTCAACATATTTGGCTCATAGCGGAAATTTGCAGGACCGTTTGTGGTGTCTGGATGCAAAGATAGGCACCATTTTGTCACAGTGAATTAGAGACAGAGCAAGGGGAGTGAAAAGACTGTGTGAATGTGTTTGTGGTTGTACAAAGCAAAGGGGGGTAGTCTTGTTAAGCTGCATTACTGAGCCATTAAACCCCGTCTCTTTTTCCAGGACAGGTTATCCCCTGATCCATCAGTACAGCACGGCCCTCTGTTCTCCTCCCATCCTGACAAATTGATCCATCCTCTTTCTTTTTTCCTGCTCTCGTCTTTCCTCATTGTCCCAGAGGGGGTGTCTACTTACAAGACTTTGCTGAGAACCAGAGCGATGTAGAGGAAAAGGAGAGAGGATGAGGAGGTGGAAGGCGAGAGGTAATGAGCGGTAGCGAGGAGTACGACTAAGGGAAAAGACAAGGCGGCAGGATGCGGTCAGCTGCAGACGCTGAGGAGGAGGGGAGAGGGGAGTGGAAGGATATGAAGATCACATTAGGTACTGTAGTCTATAGTTAGCATATGAGCTCAACCTGGGTGTGGTGATGGGCGACAGAAAACCTGAGACTGATCGGCCCTCGGAGGATCCGTCCTGGAGAGAAAGAAAATCACAGATGAAATACGACTAAGTATGATGAAGGGAAGTCATACAGACAGAAAGATAAGAGAGAAAGCTAGCGCAAGTGAAGAATGCAGATCATAAAGCAATAAGATGCAGCAGCTTTAAAGGTGCAATATACGGGATTCACTGCCTTTATATCATCAAACAACTATTATCTATGGAAAGATATTGAGGAGTAATGTCTACCTGAGCACTGAGTGAAGTCGCTCTCGCTCTGTGTGTGTTGTTATCCGAGGCTACTAACTGGCTAGGTAAACAATGTTATCCCTGTCAGCACTTCTGTCATTGTTTGCACTGTTAGCTGCGAGCCGCCGCCTCAGCCGTCACCATGTAGACAGCTGTTGAGAGCAAATCGAAATGCTCCGAATCTCATACATAGCACCTTTAACCTTAAAGCTGTAGTTGTTATCAACGTATGAAGCACCTTATTACATTTAAGCCTAATATGGATTCAAGGCTTTGCAGTTTTAAGTTCCAGGACTCACCAAACCTCCCTCCACCCTTTGGGATTCTCCTACCCTGCAAACCTGACCTATTTCTATGGGCTGAGGCAATGGAGCAGGCCTCTGTGGATGTAATCTCCTTCTCCTCTGGCAAGCTCCAGCTCAGTCAGCTCAGAGGTTGCTGCACTGGCTTTTCATTCATGCCTCCCTCTCCTAAGGGGAATTTTACTGGAATGAAAGAGCAAAATCTTTGTCTGCAGAAGCAAAAGGAGGGGAAAAAGAACAATAAGCAGAATGCTGTGTTAAACCTGCGCTTGGCAGAGAGGTTGAAGTTTAAATGGAGAGAAGGCCTCGAGTAGTAGTTTTTCTGTTTTATCTCTCACAAATCAGCGCAAGTTGATGTTATATAATTTTGAATGTGAGATCATATCAGATTACATGGACTAGCTTTATGTGCAGTGTGTTATGTATCAGTGGTGCAGAATGATTGTACCTTGCTTTAGGTGGTAAAGAACAGCAGTGATCTACGCCGGCTAGTTTTCTCTCTCCAGTGTGTAAATACTGATGATTAATTGTCTCATGTTTTCATCTCCACCTCTTGCATATTGTCATATTTGTTCGGGTATTGAAAATGACATGTGAACATGTCTAGTTGATAATAACAACCCCAAATTTGTAGGATCTTTGAGCTGGCGTCCTTAAGTATTTCAGAAATTATTCTGGAAGAAATTTGTTACATCCATTTAAAAAGACAAATGTGTGTATCATGAATATCTTTAGATTCGCAATAATGACTAAATATTGATCTATTGCCCGGCTGTAGTCTTTGAGGGTAGAATGGAGATAACCCTTTCCATATATGTGTGTCATTTCTAGCTCCAGCTCTAAAGCCATCACACTATACCATTAGCAGATTCAGACTTTGAGAGGAAACTGGTGATTCCCCAAATACTCAGATTTGGTCTCATCATGAACTACTTTCATGTCATTTTACTGAGTGGATCCTTGATAAAATGTGATCTGGACAATCTCTGATTTCTGCCTATTTGGTCATATGTGCTGAGGATTAGAGCTTGTATGTCCCAACAAATAAGTAATCTGCCTCTGTGTACTAAATAGTGTGTATATGCTGTGTGTGTTTTATGTACACTGTGGCTGATTTTGTTGAACACTGACCACCAGTGGGTTGTAGAAAGAGCCTTCATATTTTTGATTAAGATACACTAATTGTCCGGCCGATATGTAGAAAATCAAATATCATAAGATTTTTGAGCCCTATTTGTAGCAGTAGTTTATATATTGAAACTCCGTTATATATGGAAACTCTTGATTTTGACTCCTGCAGGTATTTAACACTTGCATTCCTGGTCCATCTCTGTGTCAGAGTTACAGGAGGAAGAGGAGCTCCTGGAGGACCGCTGTTGGGACACGGAGAGCCGTCTGGCCGAGCAGGAGTGCTCTGTAGGAGAGTTTCATAAGGAGCTGACTCACAAAGGGGCTTTGGTTGGAGCCCTCAGAGCCAATCTCAAGGAAAAGGAGCGCCATTTCCTGGAGGAGCTCAAACGCCGCAGCCACTGTTCCACCATCCTTAACACGGAGCTGCAGAAACAAACAGAGGCAGCAGCATACCTCTCCTTCCAGCTGCATGCTGCCAGGCAGAAACTGCACCACCAGCGGATGCAGCAGAGGCAGGGACTCCTTGCCCGGGCCAACATTCAGGGGGCCCAGTATGGTGCCGAGCAGAACTCCGTTTCTCCACAGATGCCATCAGGGGCCTCCCCTTCCTCCCCCGTGGTTAAACCCAAGCGCAAGAGTGCCAGGGCGTCTTCGAGAGTGGAGCGCGCCCGTGAGTGTGTGCCCATAGAGAAAGTGATGGGCCCTGCAGAGCCCACAGCGATGCCAGACCCTGCACTCTTCCTCCACCCTCGAAGGCACAGGGCCCGCTCCAGGCACACTGTGGCACAAAGACAGGCTCCACTGGGCCTGGAGAAGGAGGATGAGGAGGAAGGAGGTGGAGAGGGGCTAGTGGAGCCCCAGGGTGAACGGGCCAGACTGTTGTCTTCAGCAGCAGTGCCCCCTGCTGCTGAGACGAAGGCAGATTAGCGACTACTGTGACCTGCACTTTTAACTGCAGTTTGATCACCGTATCATTCTCTTCTGTCAGACTGTTAATGCTGTTAACTGTTGTTCTGCACCTTTACTGAATTGATACTGAGACTGGTTTTAGCTTATTGAATTATATTACACTTATTGCTGACACTTTTTTCATATGGACTTAACCTTTAAATAACTTGCAAAGCTCAGTGAGTGTCACTTTAAGTGAGTTTTAAATGAAGTTAGATGAATTATCTGTTTACACTGGTGTCACATGCTCAATATGCTGTGGGACCTTTTTTCAAAGCAACTCCTTTTTGATCTATAAAGAGTAGCCTTCTGACTCTGGACCTGCTCTATATGAAAAGTGGCCTAAGAGTACTTCTGTTATCATGTGGCGCTGTAAAAATGAAATTGTAATCGGAAATTAAAATATGGGGTTGGTGAATGGTAGCAGCCATTTTAGATGGACTACAAGCCGATGTGTTGTGTAGCCCAACCAACTGTGAGCTTTCAAGACCAAACATAAATCAACCATGTGACCCAACGTTTGGTTGAGTAACAGCTGAAAATATCTGAAGTGGCATGCACGTCTGTTTGAGTCCTCTGTGTTTGTTCCTGTGACTTATTAAATTATGAGTACAAACTACAACCAATTGGAAATGATAACCTCCAACAAAGCATGGTTTGTCTGAATTTTAATCTGTGACCACTGCATTCCTATACAGTAAATACTCGTGTCTAATTGGCCAGAAGGTGTCCTTTTAACATAATTTATGAGGACACATAATTCGTTTCTCTGAACCTTAACCTCAACTAGTTATCTCTGCAACAATTGACCATACGCTAACGTAAAGCCTAACCCCAATGCCTGAGGGCAATGCTTCAGGAAACACGAGACCTGCTAACAGTTGGAGATGTGTGAAACCATATCTATTAACTACACTCTTATTACAGCAACAAACTATTTAACAGAATTTTATCAAAATTGCAATATGGCCTACTGCAATTTTCAAATCGCAGGAATATAGGAGCAATATTTGTTTAAGGCGAAATGTTTGTCAAAATACCATTTTAGATTAAATGTTGTGACGCTGCAGAGATGTGATGCCTACACATCATATTCTACAGACTGAACAAAACATCTTAGTTTGGTAAAGATCCCCACAAAAATCAAACCACAATCATTTTAATGTTTTTCATTGAAAATGAGAACAATGGTTTAGAAATGATCACTCCCTCTAATATTTCAAATCATATTGCATTTGCAATGTCAGTTAAAGTAATTGCAATTAGATATTTTTTCAAAATAGTACAGCACCAACTCATGTTTGTCGTTGGATATTATCGATCATTTAATACATTGTTACATTTTTGAAGATCTAAAAAGATAATGCACACCATCATAGCCTGTATGTTTAATAAAAGATACACATTGAGGCACGTGTGCTGCGATTCCTCTGTAGTGGCTGCTTTCTATAAACAGGTGATAATAACTTCTGAGTCATTGAACCATGTGTTTCACTTGGGTGTGGTTTGTGTACTAAACACACACACACAGTGTGTCACACGCACACATGATTACTACGTCAACTAGTTTGTGTTGGGATTTCTTTTCACTTCAGGAAAAACTGACAAACAACATGATTGAAGGTTTTTTTGTGTTTTCAACTGAAGTCTGATTGATTCGGTGTGTTTTGCATTTTGTTCCTTTCCCACTTTACACAAATTCACAACGGTGGCTGTGCACTGTGAATGACAAGAGGGCCGGCTCAGCAGAAAGCTTTGTGTGTGTCCTGTTATCAAAACGCATGCCCATAGTGGCCCCTAGCGTTACAAGGAGCAAGTAGCAACTTGAAAAAAATAATAAAAACTGTTTAAAGTAGATTATAACGGAGGACATACTTTCTTATGTTATTGCTTTATTGCTGTACCCGACTGTAATTACTGCCTTATAATAGAGGAGCTGTGGATGGAAGAAATGCAGTGTAAGCAAGACAAAGTATACTAAAGTATTGTGTGCTTTTGTTTCAGAATGACTTTTATAAGACTCTTTAGGATTTGATTATAAAGGTTTACTGTATGTCATGTGGCACCTCAGTTATTTTTGATTCAAAGTTTTGTCACAGTTGATTGATACTTGAGCCATGACTTAACTGAGCATCAGTGTCTTTGAAACAAGCCTTCCTGTAAGACTGGACTCAATTGTGATTCGTCGCTGTGAGGTTTTTCTCGTCTTCTGCAGCTACTGATCAGAAGTTTAGCATTATATTTTAACAGTATATCCTCAATAAAGCAATATATCAATATATTTATAAATAACAATAATAATAGGTCACATCAGCTGGTTTGCGGACTCTTGAGGTGTTAAGATTTTATGATTGTTTAACTTTGTATTTTTTAATTGTTGAGCTCCGTACGTTTTGCTTAATATTTTGCTGAATTGTCTAAGGGATTTTTTCTGTTGATTGTCACTGAATCTGTACATGAATAATTGTTATGTTACATTTTATAGGACGCATATCCAAGTGAGGAATCAATGCTTCACATGAAGCAGCATTAACCAAACGGGCATATTATTATGTTGCCACATGAGACTGTCTGAGTGAAAACGAACTGAACCTGTCTTCTCCCTTGGCATAAATGCAAATGTGACGAAGGTTTTCATTCACCTCTCAGCTAGTAAGCCATTAGCATGTCTGTGCACTATTCTTCCTCAAGGTTTATGAGGACAGCTGGGGATAAAAGTACAAAGCTGTCTGGTTGAAAAAATAATTTCCCCAACAGGGACTGTTAGACTTCATCACTCCACGAGCTATCCATTCGACAGGTAGATTAAACTCTTCACCCACCTCTCTTAATACAAGTTAAGATCCCACATCCCACATTCTAGATTATCTATACTTTGATATTGTGTAACAGCTTCATCATAAATACTGGTTGCTGTTTACAGCTACAGAGACTGTTGACTTGTTTGTCTGCGTTGAGAGAAAATGCTAATGAGCCAAAGAGGCCCACCACTAAAATTAAGATGAAGATTACTGGTGTGATGCCTTAATGAAGATGTCTTTTCATGAATATTTCAGCTAAAAGGAGTAAATCTTCACCGCTTGATTTGCTTTTTCTACTTTTCAGATCATACCACAGTTCATCTCACAACATAGCGAGGCAGTAGATAATTTACTCACACCCACAGAGAATGTCTTCCATCTTTCTAGACGCCTTTATAATAACCCTAATCCTCATAGTAATTATGAAAACAAATGTCAACAGCTTCATGTCCAGGTATTGAGGTCAAATCTGTTTATTTTGCATCTTAGAGAAATATGTCAGTGGACAATGTATGTATGTATGAAGCATCTTGGTTGACATGTTATGTGGTCTCTAGCAATAACGCGGTGTGGTACCCAACATGAAGGTGTTGGTCTGGGTTGTTGCATAGCTGTTGACTGATTACCGCATATACTGTGTTAGCTTCCTATAGTGATCTACTGTACTCATAATTGGAATAAAATGAAGGATTGTCTAGTCTAGTCTCCTTATTGTTGCTTGAAAGTTTACCAGAGAAAACCTGATTTGAAAGAAGCAGAGAATAAATGTGCAGAAGAATAAATCAATTATTAATTTTGCCCTTTTCACAGTCATGTGGAGCTGGATCATTTATGTCATCCTTTTTATTAAGTTATACCTTTGATGGATGACATGAACATATTTTATCAGGATCTTTCTATGACACTCCTTTACATTTAGCATCTACAGTAGTACCGTGTGAATGATAAGACATTATTGTAGCCATTTAAATATGTACAATTTACCACCCCATTATCATATAAGGGAAATGCTTTGAATGTTTCTGAGAAAGCTCTAAGGCCAGACTAATTTTCTCAGTATTTTTTCATAAGAGACGTAGCTTTTATCTCCCAGAAGACTCACAGTACTGTTATCTGCTGCACCCTGAAAAATGTCTTCTTTATTACATTAAGAAGAGTCCCTTCCCAAATTGGGGGGTCATTGTTTATGTGAGTCCTTTGGGAGACAGTTTGTTTTCAGGTGGACAAAATAGATGTTTTATTCTGTGACGGTGTTTACACATTGTTAACTTGTGAAACATAAGTAATGAAGTTATTTAATGAGTGTTATTATGAATAATAATATAATTGACGGTTTCTATCTTTGACAGACCGAATACAGGTGACTATCTCTTATGAAATTTGTCCTGCAGCTTTCCATCAGGCTTACTGTTTGACAATATAATACTGGATTACTTCCATTATGCTCACCTTAAAGTAGAGGAGAGTGGAAGCAGAGTTACAAATGAGATTATAAAGACTTTAATTTTACTATCCTACCAAATTTTCTTTTTAGTTTCATAAGGTTACAATATTTTAGCATTGGCTTTAGATGTCCCCTCAAAGGTGGGACATTGGCAAAGTGTTCAAAGTTACCAGAGGGCTATTTATCAGGTCTGGCAGAAACTGCTCCCACTGTAGAAAAAGTAATATACAAGTCTGGGTTACAAGGCAGGCAACTGATTCAAACATCCCCAGGGTTACAGTGTCTCAACTGATATGAACCAGTTTATTTGTGATGACATCACACTCTGCATCATTATTTGTGATGTCATTAACAGTAAAATGATTGTAATACTTTGTCTTTCCACTAAGCCATTGATCTTATGTTATCTTCCAGTGCATAAGATATATTCTTCACCGTCACAAAAAAAAAACAATCACATGAATTTGTCGAGGAGATTTGTCGCTTGTGGCTTTCCGTAGCGCCACGCTCAGTGGGTGGGGAAGTGCAACGCAAAGGCAAAGAGGTCAAGGGGAGGAGAAAACCACGTGTGATCAGCCCCGTGTACAGCGCTGTCCTTCTCTCCTCTGTATACTTGTTTCTGTAAGCTTTGTACCCTTCGCATGTAGCCAACTAGCCTGAGTTAGCCGGGGAAGCAGATTTTTTTCTTCTTCTACAGACTCACATTATCAAGCAACGCAGCTGGGGGATTTCTGTTTGCCGACCATGGTGAGCAAGACAGATGACATCCCGGCGTCAGTGCCTAACTGTAATCCGGTCGATTTTGCGGATGAAGCAGGCGATGGAGCCCAGGACAGCAAAGAAACCAGCAAGACCCATCTGAAGGATTCCTGCGGTTGCGGTGAGACTCTGCAGCAGACCGACTATCTGCTGTCATAACGCCACAATATAAAAACACTGATAACACACAGAATCATGGAGTACATGCAGTAACAACAGCATGCATTGACTGTTATCGGCGTGGTTTATTAAACGTTTGGTTGTCTTGTCTTTCTGCATAGCAGCTAATGACCTGAATGAATCATTTTGGTAGCTTCTCCAACTTCAGATGGTCCACCTTGCACATGCTAACTGTTCATCTGTGCTAATCAGCAAACTAGCAACCTTCACAGGGTCGGATCCATTTCTACGTCCACTGGTCATAGCTATTAGCATATAGTGCAACGCTGCAAGTGAACCCAAAACAAGTTAGCCGGTATGCTAACATTAGCCTCCTGGGTGAGTTAGGCTAGTCGGTTAGCTAGCTAGAAAACACCTGCTGTCGGCGCGTCGCTTCGTGCCCCTTAAAGACGAACCAGCGTCCTGACAACTAGTGTTTATTCTGGTAAAACGTGACCCGTCTGTATAGCACGCATCACAGTGTAGCAGCGCGTGTTGGGCTAACTGGTATTCACGCACATGTTCAGTAACAGCTTGTCACAGGAATGAACTGAAGGTCACCTTCAGTGGAGCTGCACACTCCACATAAACACAGGGGAGGGGGGGACATTTAGTATTATGTGTCCGACGAGCTACGTTACAGACGCGTTGACTCTATTTTCTTGTTTTTAAATGTGTACTTTAAGAGATGCCCCGTGTGTGGTGGTTACACTCTAAAGATTAGATCGAGTGTACCTCCTCGACCGGGAAGCGGAAGTTGGTTGTCATAGAAAAAGTTATGGTGGTGCATGCACCGTGAGAGAGAGGGAAGGTTACGCTAATAATACACGAACAGCCGTGTAAGCAGGTGAGTGTACTGGAAGATAAAAGTAGGGTAGGCGGCTTGCAGTGGAGCAGCCACAGACTGTTGTCTGTAGAGGAAGAATAATGTGAGACTGTGAAGTTATTGTTACACAACTTCAACTTCTACAGCACCAAAGAGTCTGTCTGCACGTGTCACATTTGGGACCTTGACTCGTCTCTGCCTGTGTCGTTTCATTTCAAAACACAGGCGAGAGAGCCTCACTGCTTTGAGGATGATCTGCTGGGTGTGTTTTAATTCCTCTGCTTTATTTGGCTGGATGATTCCTTCTGTATGTGCTGTCTCCAGTCTTTCAGTCCTTCCACATTGGAACAGTGTGTGCTCCATTCAAGAGCTTTAAGAGCATATGCCACATATCTATCTAGCTCCAGCTTGTCAGTTTTGCTGCTTTTCTTTTGTCTTATGTGATAATAAACTCAATATGTTTTCTCTTGAAGTGTTGGTCGGACAAAATAAGCAACTTGATCTTTCACTTTAGGAACTTGTCACGGTCATTTGGTGGTGGCCCAAGTGATTTTAATAAATAAAGAGAATTACAATGATCCTTAGCTGTAGTCTTACTTATGACCTGCCATAAAACTGTCTGTGAGAAGCGGTGACAGGATTGATGGGCTCAACATGTCTGATGACCAAAGCAAACCCTGGACCGTCAGTGCAGAGTTGTAACAGCTACAGGGGTAAGTCAGACAGACCGAGGCGAGGGCCACTGTTGGTGGTCCTCAGGGGCTTAATGATGGTGAAGTGTGACCTGGATCAAAAGTCACTTCTCCTCTCCTGGCTAGATGTCTTCCTCACCACTCCACAGTCAACTCTATTGTGTTCATCATATTTAACAATGGTACTTTAAGCTTCTGGCCACTTAAAATAACCTCTTGTCACAAGGTGCACACGGGTTTGCATGTAGGAACACTCTTCATTAATTGCTTGAAAGTATTTAGTGACTAATTTCAATCTCAAACAGACCTTGCATTCAGCCGCCGCTGTTGTTGTGAAATGCCATTGCAGATGCATGACTCCGGGACTCTCTGTCCACCAGGAGGTTTATTTTGTGGTTACAGACGGACCTTGTGTCGTTGTTGTTCTCAGGGTTGTCTGGCCGGTTAGTGTTGCTATGACAGCAGCCAGGGTCCCCGTGTCAAGGGCCACAGAGTGGATAGATGGCTCGCTAGATTTATTATTTAGTTGTTCCCAAGAGAAGTGCGAAAAGTACTGCATCACCTGAAAGAAGTGTGAATGATCACTATGAGTTGGCAGTTTGATTCAGACAACGGATTAGTCAGAATGGAAAAGTTACAGAGTAAAAGTTTACTTACTGTGGTGTTTTTAGCCTCTAATCTGTGTCTATTCGATTCTTTATCTTGACCTTTTGTTTGGCAACTGTCCGACCTCAAGTTTGTGATCAGATTAAATAGTTGCCTCACCATCGTATCTCATTTCAACATGAAATCTCAACTGTCTATCTAACACGAGATTTGTCCCGTTAAAGGTTAGGGTTCCTCGTTACCCTCTCTCCTCTTTCCTTTCTTCTTACTGAACTTTCTTCCATTGCTGTGGAGCGAAAGGGGTCCGTTTTGCAACACACAGGCTGCTGGATTGCCTCATTAATCACAGTCTGAAGTCTGATACTTTGCACTCTTGCAACATATTGTAGTTCAGTTATAAGGGACAAAGATTATCTCAAAAGTTAACTGAAATATGGCAATTTTTTGTTTGCATAAAGTGGCTTTAATCCATACTTTCAAAATGAAGTTGTATCAAATGACAATGTGAAAGGGGTTGCTCATAGTGATGAGATTTACAGTGAGTTTCTGGCTGGCAACGGAACTTATTTTGGTTCACCCGCGTCGCCTATAGTGCTGTTTTTTGGCTGTTTTCCATGGAAAAGCTCTAGAAAGCCACTCATTCAGCACCAAACGACAGACAGACACAGTTAGAGACGACCTGGTGAACACAGTGGAGTATGTAGCATCTAAAGAGAATCGATGGAGACTGAGAACAGAGCTAAAAGATGGTGTATATTAGACTTGCATTCATGAAATGGACACAGACACAACTCCAAATTAATGCAAATTTTGCAAGGTAACTGCTGGATGTGATAAACTGTTTGATACCAAGTTTGCCATGACACTTTACAAGTATGTCAATGTTATTACTATTGCAGGTTCATAAGGAAAATTACTTAAGTTCAACCTCTCAGACAAAAATAGTTCAGCTCTGATAAGAAACAAAACGCTTCTGTACTGACACTGAAAATAGAGACCGCTTCACTGAGAGCCCTCCTTCTCAAGCCGTTGTGTTTATTATTCAGAGCGTGGCCGGTCGCCTCTCTCTCCTGCCCCCCCTCCCAGCTCCTCATTTCAGTGCGTTCAATCCCACCCGGGGTCCAGTTATGAGGCCCCGCCCCTCCCCCGGGCCCCTTCTCTTCAGTAACCCTGACGCTGTGTACCCTTGACAGCGAGCAAGGACACACCGGCTGACAGCGAGACATCCACACACTCTGAATTAATGTACCGGAAGGCCTCGTTTTTTATTCTCCACTTAACTGTTCTTTCGTTTAGAAAAGGT